TCCCCCCCCCCCCCCACCCTCCCCAACCCTAAACGATGCATCGTGAAAATGTTCACTGTCCTTAGACCATCCTCATGAAATGATTTTAATTTCTTAGGCGTACGTTTTTCCTCCGACAGACACTTGCAATACGTTCAGTTTTTCCATTGATTTATCTATTAAAATTAGTTTAGCAAAGTGTTACATCAATATATTATTTTAAAAGAAACTGAATTGAGAATTTGACAAATTGAATACTGTTGGACTAAAACAGTGACGGTTGGAGGACCAACATTTGGGTGGGATTTAGGTTGCTTCCACTTCTTTACTAAAGAGGGATGGAGTTTTTTTATACTCAGGGTGAGCCACGGCATTTTGAGACCATTCAAACGAGAAGAATCACCTTTGTCTTCCGTCTCTTTGTTTTAAGTTAGATTCTTCAGGATGAAAAAGTTACCTTAAAAATGGTTCGACGCTGAAAACCAGCGGCACAAACACAAACAGGCACACAGAGTACTTCAAACATAATATTCCGTCCATGAACTAGATCTAGATACGCAGTGTAGTCGCGAAAAATAGAACATACCTTACGAAGCTCCAATGAGCGCATAGCTAGGTGACTGTGTCACTAGGGGAAAAGAGTCTCGTAAACTCTCATCCCATTGTCATGGCTTGGAGAGAGTGAGCCCTCAGTGCAGTGTTCTTTTTTCCAATCTTCCACCTTTTTTCAAGAAGAGTTTCATGAAGGAAGGGTCGTGGGAATGGGCTCTTCCTTTGCTGAGCCCTACAGACATTTGATTGGATGTGAGGTTACCATAGCATTTGTAAACGGTGACAATAGTGATTAGATAAGCGTCCAAGCCGCCAAGCTGATCACTCTATTGCCTGCGGTCATAACGGTTTCAATTGCTTATTTCGTTATTTATGAAACTTTCATTTACCTTGGGATCGAGTTGGGGGAGGGGGGGGGCTCAAGCCCGTGACCTCTTAACTACTCACCGCCATTTGACCAAAACATATGATATACCATTTCCGAAAGTCTGGACTGTAATTGTTCGAATATTGACAGAGGCGCTCAGTCAAGCAGATGCAACGGCCCGTCCAAGTGAATGAGTTAAAAGGTGAACACATCAAATCAATAAGAATTGTGTTACTCACGTCCCCATACGCAGTCCTTCATTGTCTCCTCGGCATGCGTGTCTTTCAAACTTTCGCATCCAAAGTTGAAAACCCTGTCCTCATGGTAGTTGGAGTGGATGCTTTCGATTGTCTGCAGGAAGATAAAGAATAAAATTATGCGGGTGGTTGGAGGGCGCCACTGGTAGGTCCTACTTCTTTGCTTTCCCTCCGTTATTTCTGTTTTTCTGTTTTTTACCTTTTCCCAGCACTAAATGACCATTGCTGTACTAGTTTTTATATTACAGAATGCTTGATATATATATATATATATACGCCTGCGAGATGAGAAAAGAGAAAATATGATAAAAGTATTATTACGTGATGAATATCTTGTTATGCCTACAGTGTATAAGTGTATACCCGAGAAATAGTTTGTATTAAAAAATATAAATTTTATACGGGGTGCCCACTCGATCGCCTCAAAAACAAACATGTTGTTTTCAGTTTCAGACGATCGAGTCGGGCGATCGGCCCGATCCAGCCGTAGTGGGCACCCCGTATTAAGGGATTTATATCAAAATGGCGATCGGCGAAGTCAGCCGATTTGGAAAGGCTATCACTCAGGCCATATGAAGACCTTCTAACTTCAGTGACAAGACGCACACTCAAGTGGTTACCAGTTACAAATTATTTTAATGAAAACGTTTTGTCTCCCAGTTAGTAGGTCACTGGTACTGTAGTGTGCATGAATTCACAGTTGTAACTCACCCCATCCCCATCCCCCGACCCCCGTATTTTTCCCTCGATTTATCTCCAGTGAATTTTCCTAGAATATTCAGATGAAAACAAATAAGTCAGAAATTCAAAAGACGTTGAAACTCCTGTCAGTTTCAATCACGATCGAAACGGTGACTGTACCCCTTGTTTTAAAAATAGCATCACATCATATATTGGCATTAATTATTCATTAATGTTCGCGGTTTTACGAGTAGGAATTGTTCTCCCATCAATATTCTGTAAAAGTGAATGTGAACAACTCACCTTCGCACATGAGGTCATGTCGACTCACGTATGGTCCCACACATAGTGGAGACGCGAAATCTGCGTAGTAGATCAAGTAAGTTCCTAATGGTGGGCTCAAGCAGACTTTTACCCACCTAGCTAACCTAATCAAAAACTCTGCTAATCGGCTGGCTGCAGTTTAAACCTATCCGTACGCCCTGGGGTCATTTTGTACCCCCGGGATAGTTTTCTTCACATTTCAGGATACTTCTAGTATGAAGATCTCTTTAAAACTTTCAGTATTTCTCAAAAAAATCATTTTGACACTCTCATTCAAAGCGTACGGATCGGATAATCGAGTACATTTCCTCTTTGTAAAGTGATGACGCAGAGTTCCCCACGTCGTATGGAAACAATAGTAAAACACGACGTACGGATAGGGCTAAACGGAACGTTAAAAGTAAGCCAACCAAACCTGAAGATATTTTCCAACGTCACAGGTGAAGGAAAATGCCTGATCATAGCTTGTGGCATAGGCCGCCAAAGCAAGATGGTGCGTCCCAAAGACGGAGAGAATCAGGAAGATCAACATCATAACTTTTGTTGTCCGTCGCAGTTTTCAAATAAGGAAAAGCGACTTTCTATACAAGGGAGTGGCAGACAGTTTATATTTTCTCCAAGACAGGAGCGTCCTCACGACGACTCTTTGGGTTGAGGGAAGGAGCGTGGAGACTTGATGGTGGGAAATACTCAAGTGGGATTTGTTGTGTATTTAATGTTAGTGTTTCAGCGCCTATAAATGGCTGCTTGCACTGTATGCTTCCCTGGAAGTTAAAGTTGTTTCAGAATGCCCTCAGGTCTGCTGGGGTAATATTATATAGATTGTGAAGCGTATAGAGCTTGCTGTTGAGCGGGGATTTGCCGGATACAAATGCTATCTATAATTATTATAAATGTAAGTGTTTTAATGTCCCTGTCAACACGATTTCGGACACCAATGTTTTTCTCCTCCCCCTGCACCCAGCAGTAATGGGTACCTGACTTCGAGTTGGGAAAGTAAAGGCGGCGTGGAAAGGAACTGGCCACCCTATCACAATATGCCGAAGACCCAAGAAGTTGTCTCACTAACAAGGCAATCTCCAATGTCCGGATCGCATGCTGAAACAACTTTACTTTACAATCTCCCAGAAAAATGACTAGTTAATAATTTTCCCCTTCACAGAAAGCACCTTCGCCAAGCAGTCAGGTCAGATAGGATTGTCTATATGAATGAAATGGCATCCAGATAACTGCAGTTTTGGGGGATTTCATTTAAATGGTTGTTGTTAACCAACTCGAGTAATTACAACTACAAGGAAATTAATGGAACTACCAAATAACAGTGAGAAAACAGGCGTCAAATCCTCTTTCATAGTATAGTTATCTGTACCGCCATTCTACGGTCCTGGTGTGACGACGTGAGGGGTCAAGTTTGCCATAAGATAACGTCTTTCGAAGCTCATTACTTTGTGTCTTTTTTTACTGTGCAGCTGAGGAAATGTTTAACTCGCTCAAGGTAATCTCAGCGCGCTGAAATTACTTGAGAAAAGATAAGACATTAAAAATATATCTGGTTACTGTTGCTTCTGACTTCATTTGAGAAATCTATTTAGATGGTGATTCGAATGGCTGACGGTTTCATTACATTTTCCTTACCTAAGAAAATGTAAAAGGCAGTTTCTCGATTCGGTTACTTTTGAAAGCCTGAAATGGGGACGTTAATTCTTTGAGTATCTTGATGACGACTCCGAATAATCTTAAGATTTTGATAGTCTGCTAGTCTCTGCTGAAGCCCCAGCCCTGGACCCACCCACTCGCTCACCCCTCCCCTTCAAGGATTCTGGAGATGAATCGTGAGAGCGGGGTGTGTATGGGAGGGGGGGGGATAATAAGTAAGCCTTGTCTCATTGCCTTTATTGAAGAAAATGCGACTCTTCCCAAATTAGTGTAAAACGTCACACATTATCACCTACACCAAAGTGCTAATAATAATGTTTACGTAATAAGCTTCTGTACGCTCTCTCCTTCCTCCTCACCCCTTCTTCCTTCCTCACCACCTCCTCCCCATATGTCGAATGTTTGGTGGGGTCTCTGGAGGGGTTTTGTTTCTTCTTTGTATTAAATTTTAAAAATAAAGTACATGTA